TGTTAGTGGCTGGCTTACAAGTTTTCAAGAGGGAATTTAGATTCAGAATGCAAGGGAAGGTAGAATCCCCACTGAGTAGTTCTCATCTTGTCTAGATGAGTCTGGTGAAAGGAGATGGGGATAAAGAATCTTATGATTCAATAGTGAGTAATTGTTATCATGACTGACTGTGACTGTCACAAATGTAAAGGCAGAAGTTTTGTAACAAAAAGGGGGGAGTAGTTAATCTTACATTCCAGGAACAGAGGACCTTTGGACCACCAAGGGAGAAGAGCATGAGCGGAATGTGGGACCCTGGCAGTGACACCAGTGCTGGAGGCAAAGATGACATCAAGAGACAGAGCAGTTGAGGACTCATGGAAAAAGAAAGGCTGTATGCTGGTGACCAGGAGGCAGGCTTGCAGAATGTGCCCTTGGGTTGTTTAAATGATTATACTGCTGAGCGTTTTTGTGTACATCAAACAAAAACTAACCAAAAAAATAGGGAATAGAAGCAAATACTGTTGAAAGGTGAGGCATGGAGGTGATTGTAATCATTGCAATAATATGAAATATGATAGGATGCATGCAAAACTGATATTCTCCCATGTAAATGATCACTCAATACACAATAAAAGCTAAAATAATAATAATAATTATAATAAGAGGTAAATAAGGCTGGCTTCAAATTCCCTCTGATACCTCTGAGTTGCCTGGCACTGGACAATTTACTTACACTTAGAGATCCCATTTGCTACTGTGGTGGTGCTGCAGGGTAATGCACTGGACCACAAGGTTAGTGGTTTACCAGTCATTCCTTGGAAACCATTTATAGAGTCACTATGAGAAGAGTCCTGGTGTGGGGTTATAGGCTAATGTGCCAGACTGCAAAGCTATTTGAACTGCAGGGTTGGCGGTTCAAGCTCACCAGCTGCTCCTCGGAAACCCTATCCAGGGTTGCTATGAGTCAGAACTGACTCGATGGCACTTAACAATAACAACAACATGAGTCAGAAGAGACTTGATGGCACTCAACAACAACCAGTCTGGAATCCTGGTGTGGCGCTATAGGATAAGCAGTTAACCACAAGGTCAGTTTGAACTGCAAGCCAGCGGTTCGAACTCACCAGTTGCTCCTTGGAAACTCCTAATCCAACTAGACAGCATTTAACAACAACAACCATAGTCTTGGTCCTTCTAATGATAGGCATCCTGGCTGGTGTGCGCTGTACAATAAGCACTGGGCTCACAACCAAGAAAGAAGAGCCAGGACTGATGTGTGGCCTTTGGACCTGGGTTGTTGCACTAGGTACCTCTTGAACCCAGAGGGAAAGCAGTGGCAGAGAAATGGCAGCAGGAGACGGTGAGGTGGGCTTCCCAGTTCATGGAATGAGAAAAGCAGACCACCTTCAGGAAAGCAGTTTACTAAGAGAGTAGGGTATCTCTGGGCACTTACCAGCAGAGCTTAAAGAGCTTTCTAACACTTAAACAAGCAGAGTAGTGGCAATGCCTAGTGGCTGAGGGTTCGAGAAAGGCCTGCCTAGAGGTATCTCTAAAAAGAGGCTACCCTGATTGAAGAGCTGTGTATCCTGAGTATTTCATGATGCTTAAATGTAACCTATTCCTTCCCTAATAACCCTCATAACTGAGTGTATGGGCTGTGAGTTCTATGTGTCCACTGCAACAAATTATGGAATGCAGTAGAGAAGTTAAGTGCCCTGGGCAGGATAGCTGGTGTCAGAATTGATAAGAGCGGAGACTGGAAGCATGTCTGATCTCTGCTCAGAGGAACTGGCTTTGGGCTGTCAACTGATTCTTTTCCTCTTGTGAAGTCATAAAAGAGGTCAGACTCCTCTCCACACCACACCATTTTTACATCTACTTACTTAAGGCAATCAACAAATCAAATATAAACGTATAAAAACTGTCTATAGAGTGATAAGCCCTCAATAAATAATCAGAGTTTTCAGTCTGAACAGCTATCATGTTTTGATCTAAACAAACCACTGAAAAAAATTTTTTAAACAAATCTGAAGGTAATCTCATCCAAACGCATTCATAACTACAAGAATATATCTTGTAGATGTCCTGTCTAAGGAATGGAAGTAAGCATAGAGCAAGGAGCTCTGGTAGTACAGTAGTTATGAGTTGGGCTACTAACCTCAAGATCAGCAGTTTGAAATTACCAGCTATTCCAAAGGAGAAAGATGAGGCTTTCTTGCTCCCATAAAGATTTATAGCCTTGGAAACCCTATAGAGGGTCACTATGAGTCAGAACAATGAACTCACACCATAACCAACATAATCACCACCACCAAGCATATAGCAATTTGAGAGTAACCTAGGTGACACAGTGGTTAAGCACGCAGCTGCTAACCAAAAGGCTTTCTGGGTTCTTGCTCTGCTATTTTGAATAGAGAAGTTCTAGTCACAGGTCCAGGAAAGCCAAGATCCATCTAACAACAATAATGATATCCCTTGCTCCATGTCTACCGGATCTCTACGCCTTTGTAGATACTATTTGCCCTTTTTGTTTCTTTTGATGTTGTTCACCCAAGTTGAGCTTAAGAAAGGTGTGCATGGTGAATGTGGATGCCATATGTCGAAGAACACCCATCAAGAACATGTGTATTAGAATTGAAGTGAACATGAGATAAACTGCCATCAATTTTATGCCATTATGTTAGGAGGAAGGAGCTCTGGTAGCGTAGTAGTTACAAATCAGGCTGCGAACAGCAAGGTCAGCAGTTTGAAACAACTAGCTGTTCCGTGAGAGAAAGATGAGACTTTCTACTCCCATGAAGATTACAGCCTCGGAAACCCTGTACAGGGTCGCTATGAGTCGAAACTGACTCCACGGCACACAACAACAACATATATGTTAGGGAGTCCTGGTGTGGTGCTGTGGGTTAATGTGCTGGCCTGCAAAGTCAGTTTGGACTACAATGCTGGTGGTTCAAGCTCACCAGCCGCTCCTCAGAAACCCTCTCTACAGGGTCACTATGGGTCAGAACCAACTTGGCACTTAACAACAACATACATGTTACCTCCTGTAGGATCAGCACTGGACCATGACCCCAAAGGTCAGCAGTTCAAATCCACCAACTGCTCTCTGGAAACCCTACACAGGGTCACTATCAGTCAGAACCAACTCAAGAACATACATATTAAAGCTGTCTTGTTACAGCAGCTAGAGTTACCTTAACCAATGCATACATGAACTGAACATGTCTCTATCTTTTGTACATACTTTTGCTTAGAATTCTCATTCTTTCCTTCCAATTACCTACCTCCTAAATATTCCTCAAGGCCTAAATAAGTCTAACATTCTTTCAGCAGTTTTGTTCCCCTTCCATTAGTCCTAGTGATATCTTGTTCCTTCAGCTTTCTGCAGCACTTTGTTATCTGTATCACTCCTGTACATTTCATCATAACTGCACTTCTACTACATAGCTTATTTTTCCAATGAGACTGGGAGGTCCTAAAAGTCAGGGATCATGTTTTAATGCTTCTATTTGACTCTAAACTTCCTAACATGTTATTGTGTTCTTAGGAATTTTCAATAAATATTTTAGGAATATAAATGTACTTGGTTCAATAAAGTCCATTTTACTTTTTTAAAAAAAGTTATGTGCCATGGAGTCAGTTCTGACTCATAGCAGCCCTGTATAGGGTTTCCGAGGCTTAAACCTTTGCAGGTGCAAATAGGATCATGCTTCTCTGCTCAGCTGATGTGACTGTAGATCAACAAGATTGCTACTCAATGAATATGTGAAGTTTGCCTTTTGTTTCGTACATTTGAGCACACCGTGCCTAGAACAAGCTGGACTATCAATGTGAAAGTGTAGCATTACAATTTAGAACTGGAAAATAACGTACCCAGTGGTGCTTGTGGCCTTAAGAAGTATATGTACATTGTGTAAGCATGCACCCTCGCTTTACAAAGCAAAGGAAACCTCATAAAAAATGAGCATAATCTTTCTACATTATTCCTGACCAAACACATTCACTATATTAGTGGATACCAATATTTTAAACGCATACTTCCACTTTTTCCCATCTCTGCAAGTCAGAGTTCCAACTACTGCTAAGCACAACAGAAGGCAATATCACCATATGAGTATAGTTATGCCAGAGAATAGGGTGTGTCTTTCCTACTCCTCAATGCCTCCTGGTGTGGCACTGTGGGCTAATTTGTCAGACCGCAAAGTTGTTTGAACCTCAAGGTTGGCAGTTCAAACTCACCAGCTGCTCCTTGGAAATCCTATACAGGGTCGTTATGGGTCAGAATCTACTCGATGGCACCTAACAACAACAACTAACCCCTCCAGTGAAGTTTCAAAGGATTGTGTGAAGAAGGCAGGCTCACACAACTATGGTTAAAATATGTAAATAATCCCAAAGCAAGATCTTTCCGAAAATCATGGAAAACAGCCGAACAGAGAAAAGACTAGGGCAAAAAGTAGTCAACATTCAAGTTACATATTTGAATTCAAATACAGTAATTCCTTCAAATACAACAATCGCCATCACTCTAAGTTCAGGCACTCTAGTTTCAAGAGAACAGGTGAGAGTTACAATCATTAAACACCTGAAAACTGCAGGAAGCAGCGCTGTTTGTTTCTGGCTTACATTTAAAACTCTTTTTTCGTTTTAACACACAAGAACCTTTTAAAGACATCGTAATCAAAGTATATGGTCCTTTGTCCACATGAAACTTTAAAACTTTTAAATAGCCTGCAAGGCTCTCCTAGACACACGATCCCAGCTTTTACCGAATCAGTCGTTTAGGTGAAAAGGGTCCAAAATGATAAGAAAAATGAGACTACTCCAGGCTCACAGAACCTTTTTGGAAAGCGTCGCCAGCGCCCAATAGGTTGGACCCTGCACCGTCTACGGCTATAAAAAGACTGAGTTTTTGGGGGGATGACCTGCAAGTATGAGCAATCTGGAGCTGCGACTGTTCCCAAATCACCGCTGGCTGGATCAAAGGACGAGGTTGCAAAGGCTGATCCACATACCTGGCGGAAGCTGAAAATTAGCAGGCAACAGGATTGTCGTGTTGGGGGCGTTAGCAGCGGCGACCATCTGAGCAGCCGGCAGCTTCGGGCCGCTGTCGAGTTGGGGAGCAGCACTGGCAGGAGCCACTTTGGTGACCAGTGTCCCTACGGGGGCCGCCTTCTGCAGGGGCTGGGACGCCGTGGACCCCACGCACACAGCGACGGAAGGCTTAGTCACGGCGCCCAGGGCCACCGGAGCGCTCTCCACCCGGACCGGGAGAGCCCCGGCAGGGGCCATGGCCACCGTCCCGGACGCGTTCACACTGGCGGTGGCAGCGGCGCCAGCCGGCTGTGAGAGGCCCGCGGGCATCCCCCCGGATGCCTCAGCGGCAACAGCGGGACCAATAATTGGGGAGCAGCGGCGACGAGAGGCTTTGCAAGCGGCAGCCGATTCCTGTGCAGTTCCGGCTCCACAGCATCACTAGGGGGGAGGCGCAGTGGCCGCCACCTACAAGTCCGGGCAGAGCGCTGGCTGGGTGGCAGGACCACCAACCCAGAGCTGGCGGCCCCGGCCTCGCCAGCAGCAACACCTGCTCGGACGCCCACCGCTTCCTGAGCGGCGCTCACACGTGCACCGGCTCAGCCCGGAGCCTCAGCCCCCGCCCCGCTGCCGCTGAGCTCTGCCGCGCGGCTCCGGAAGAGCCTCACTTCTGCTCCCACCTCTGAGGCTCTTTCCCCCGCCAAAACTTCAAACCTACAAAGCTAGAGCGCCCCAAACCCCTCACGCGTATTCGGCACTGCGATACCGCGCGACCACGCCAGCCATGTTTATATAGCCACGCGGAGACTTCGCGCACGCGCTCAGGCCGTCGACACCGCCCCGGGCTTTCCCCGGGATTCAACCATCTGATTGGCCACGGAGAGGAATCGCGTTCGTGACGTCACTAGGCCGGCACCAAAGGGCGTTAGATTCTTCCCCGGAATTGGTAGGGAGGAGTGGCGAGTTGCCAAAATCCTAGCACGTGGGAGGAGCTGACTGCATTTGGAAAACTGCGGCACCCGAGCTATTAGATTTGGTGTCGCGAGTTATGTGTCTCTTGAAAAATTGGGACTAGACTTTCCTGATCTTCCACTTTTTAGGGGAAAAAATGTTAAGGACTGATTTAGGAGAAGTGCAATTCCGTAGCCTGTTAGAGTTCTGGTGTGGCGCTGCGAGTTAGTACACTGGGTTTGAACCGCAAGATAGGCGGTTCAAGCTTACTAGCTGCTGCTAGGAAACCCTATACAGGGTCGCTATGGGTCGGAACAGACTCAACACGTAAGAACAACAACAACAACATTAGTGTTCGTCTACAGGCTTTAAAACCGTTGCTAAATTAGGATTGCAATGACTGTGAAATGTTTTAAGAGTGGGGTCTAACTTTATGGTTGTCGCTGTGGGTTAATGCGCCAGACTGCAAAGCCGTTTGAACTGCAAGGTCGGCGGTTCAAACTCACCAGCTGCTCCTTGGAAACCCTATACAGGGTCGCTATGGGTCGGAATCCACTCAAATGCACTCAACAACAATAACAATTTTATGGTGTCTAAAACTCTGGTAGCGTTGTTGTTGTTGTTGTCAGGTGCCATCGAGTCGGAACCGACTCATAGCGACCCCATGCACTGCAAAACGAAACAATGTCCGATCCTGGGCCAACCTCACTACCGTGCCATACTTAACGCCATCAATGATGGTAGCGTAGTGGTTACGAATTGGGCTGCTAACCTAAAGGTCGGCAGCTCAAAACCACCAGCTGTTCCTCGGGAGAAAGATGAGGCGTTCAGCTCCAGTAAAGATTTGCAGCCTCGGAAACGACTCCACGGTACTTAACAACAACAACAAAATGTGTTTATCTAATCACAGACTTTTAATAGTAAACTGTCTCATGGGGGAAATCTTTTCTTCTTCAGTGCTACTTTAGATAGTCTATTGCCTCTAATCTAATATAGAGGGGCTTCAAAAAATTCTGGAGTCCTTGTATGACGCTGTGGATTAATACAAAGTTGTGTGAACTGCAAGGTTGGCAGTTAAAGTTCACCAGCTGCTCCTCGGAAACCCTGTATAGGGTCGCTATGGGTCGGAATCGACTCGACAGCACTTAACAACAACAACAAAAAGTTCTGGAAACAATTCCATTGTCCTTTAGTTCCATTATCCCATTAACTTTTTGAAGCCCTTCTATATTAGATTAGAGGCGTTAGAGTACATCACTGGACCGCAAGGTCAGTTTTAACCACAAGGTCGGCGGTTCAAACTCACTAGCTGCTCCTTGGGTGGCTAAGACTCGGAACCAACTCGTCGGGCACTTAACAACAACAGTGTGTCTTAGAGTCCTGGTGTGGCTCTGTAGAATAAGCACTGGACTGCTAACAGCAAGGTTGGTGGTCCAAACCCACCAACCATTCCTGGAAACTACACAGGGTCTCTATGGGTCGGAACCAACTCCAAGGCGCTTAGCATGATGTCCATGAAATCTAGGAGACTGCTTTATGATACCTGAATTCTCAAATTCTACCACTAAGATTTTGAATGGAATCCTAAGTATTCATGAGTGAGTGAGGAATGTTTGTTGAACGAATCAGTAAGGCAGTACCATTTGGAAAAAAACTTGACCCACAGTGATGGAAGCTGTCTCCGTGTCTGCCTACTACCATGTATTTGCAGACTATTGCGCTGTAGGATAAGCACTGAACTGCTAACAGCAAGGTTGGCAATTCACACCCAGCAACTGCTCCTTGGAAACCTTATACAATGTTGCTATGAGTCAGAACTGACTTGTAGACCTCAACAACCATGCTGAAAGGTGAAGCCCTAGTGACACAATGGGAGAAGAGTTGGGCTGCTAATCCTGAGGTCAGAAGTGGGAACACACCAGTCACTCCTAGGGAGAAAGATGATGTTGTTTGCTACTACTATAAAGATTGAATCTTGGAAACCCACAGGAGCGGTTCTACCTTGCCCTATAGGATCACTGAGTTGGCATCAACTCCATGGAAGTGGATTTGGTTTTTGGTTTATGCTGAAGGAGACTTTGCAGGCAGACAACCTGACCATTCACAATTCCTAGGTTTCTCCTTCCTTGTAAATTCCAATTGACAGGATTTATTTTTTGCTACCTTTGCTGTTTCCCAGGCCCAAACCAGTCCAAATAAATTAATTACCCATCCTTCCTGATCCAAATAGATTTCAAACTCCTACAGTTCCTTAAGACTTATCTGATCACTAATTTCTGGCAAACTTCTCCAAGTGAGAGAAAAACTAAGTGTATCGAATACTTCTGTATTTCTATTTTTGAAGCAACATTATTTTACTGACTTAAGAAATGCAGGTAAAAGTAATTTAAGAAACTAGAATTCAAACTTAATTTATATGATGCCAAAGTACATCTCTTTCCACAACTCCACAAATGTCTGGTTCGTGTTATACCTCTAACTGCCTCTAGCAAAATGGTTTGCACATAAGAGCTATTCAATAAATATTTACTAAATGAATTTGTTGAATGAAGCCATTCTACATTTTCAGTAAAACAAAAAGGTGCAGTGCACTTTGTTCTTAAGTCTGTTCTTTACTACCTGGGCAAATTCGTTAGCCTTAGTTTTTTTCTATATACATGTTGTTGCTGTTAAGTGTCTTTGCGTCAGGTCCCACTCATAGCCACCCTCTGCACAACAGAATGAAACACTGTCCTGAGCCATCCTCCCAGTTGTTACGTTTGAGCCCTTTATTGTTGCCACGTGTCAGTCCATCTAATAAAGGGTCTTTCTCTTTTTCAAATACTCTCAACTTTACCAAGCATGATATGGGGCTGGTCCCTCCTGACAACATGCCCAAATATGAAAGATAAAGTCTCTCCATTCTCACTTCCAAGAAGCATTGTGGCCATACTTCTTCCAAAACATTTGTTTGTTCTTTTGGCAGTTCATGGTACTTTCAATATTCTTTGCCAACACCATAATTCATTAACATTAATTCTTTTACAGTCTGTCTTCCTTATTCATTTTCCAACTTTCACATGCATGTGAGGCTACTGAAAATCCTGTGGCTTGGGTCAAGGGCATCTTCGTCCTCAAACTGACATCTTTGCTCTTGGATTCTTTAAAGAGAACTTTTGGGGCAGATTTGCCTACTGCGAAATGCCCTTTGATTTCTCAACTGATGCTTCCATGAGCATTAATTGTGGCTCCAAGCAAAATAAAGTTTTCGACAACTTCAGTCTTTTCTCTGTTTATCATGCTATTATTTATTGGTCCAACTGTGAGGATTTTCATTTTCTTTACACTGTGGCACAATCCATACTTAAGGATATATAGCCCTTGATCTTCATCAGTATGAATTTCAGGTCCTCTTCAAGATTGTGTCATCTGCATATCAATGGTTATTAATAAGTTTCCTCAAATCGAGGCCACATTCTTCATCATGTGATCCAGCATCTCAGATTGTTTGTTCAGCATACAGATTGAATGTTATTGTTGTTAAGTAGCGACGTGTATATAGCAACCCTGTATAGGGTTTCCAAGGCTTTATATCTTCAAGGAAACAGAAAGCCTCATCTGTCTCCCATGGAGAGGCTGGCAGGCTCAAACCACTGACTTTGTGGTTCATAGGCCAATGCTTATTGCATACAGCCACCATGCTCCCACAGATTGAGTAAGTATGGTGAAAGGATACAACCCGGACACACACCTTTCTTGATTATAAACCATTCAGTATCCCCTCATTCCATTCTAATGACTGGCTTTTGCTGATGAGCACAATTGTTCCTGAATACCCATTCTTCACCATGTTATCCATAGTTATGATCCACACAGTCAAATGCCTTTGCGTCAATAAAGCACAAGTAAACATCTTTCTGGTATCCTCTGCTTACAGCCAAGATGCATCTGAAATCAGCAATGATATCCCTAGATCCATTTCCTCTTCTGAATCCCCTTGAATTTCTGGCATATCCCTGTCAATTTACTACTGCAACCATTTTTTGGTCACTTTCAGCAAAATTTTACTTACATATGATATTAATTATATTGTTCAATGATTTATACGTTACATTGGGTCACTTTTCTTTGGAATGGGCATAAATATGGACCTTTCCAATCATTTGGCCAGGTAGATGTCTTCCAAATTTCTTAGTGCTCAATGGATGATTGACCACTTCTAGCACTGCATCAGTTTATTAAAACATTCAGTTGGTATTCCATCAATTCCTGGAGTATGGTTTTTTGCCAATGACTTCAGTGCAGCTGAGACTTCCTTCAGTACCATTAGCTCTTGATCATGTGCTACCTCTTGAAATGGTTGAACATTGATTGATTCTTTTTGCTGCAGTGATTCTCTGTATTCCATCCTGCCAT